TTCCCAATTTTAAATTATTAAAAACACAAAACAGTGCAGTCATTGTCTGAAAAGAGGAACTCTGAAAAAATAATAATACAGCTAACTATGTAATTATAATAAAATGTGTTTAGCATCTTTATGAAATGGTACAAGATCTCTGAATCTGCATGTTATAACTCATTTGAAAAGTTCACTTTAAGAGGATCAGAGATCTATTCCCTTGTTCATTTTCTTTACATAAAAAGCAAAACCCTACATATCTTCAGATGTACTAATTTCCTTGTGAATAAACTATACCTATTTTCAACCGCAGAGATACTGAATAGCCCCAGAGGGGCCTGGTTTTGCAAGATTGTTATCAAGGTATGAACAGGAGCCCTTAATCTAGCACCTCCCGTTGGATTGAACAAGGTACAAACAAAATGTTCATCCATTTCTGGTTCCGTGTCCAGTATGGCAGAAATGTGCAGAGCCTGAAAACCAAAGCAAAAGATAGAGGGATTATAATGCAGTATTTTGCAACACACATAAAAAGAAAGTTGCCAAACATTTTATAATAAAGTAGCAATTATACAAAGTTTCATTTGTTTCTTGATAATTCCTTTGATCTAAAAGTTCCAGCCTTTAAAATTATTTGTTGGTGTATATACAGGTTCTGCATGAGCACAACAGAAAATGCGTGAATTCCCACTATTCATCATAATGTGATTATTTGTGTGCTTTTTTGATGCTTGGATCAGTGCCATTGACACTTAAAATACCAAGAATGTCACCTGTGAAGACCATCTTTCAGTGCAGCTTTCAGGCTAAGAAATACAAGGAAAAAGAAGGATGATCTACTTCTGAAATAACGAGCCAGTGAAAACATGTAAAGTATATTAAAGACTCAAAAATAATATGCTTAAATCGATTTCATCTAAAAGCAGTCAAGTCACTAATGAATTTACTTAATAATCAATGTTTGTAAACTTCAATGTATTTTTCAGTGTAAACTTATTTGCATATATAGTTTTCTCAACTTCTTGGAAATTTAGAACCTTTACTTTTTCTGTTTAGGGCCACCTACACCTAAGTTTTCATTTAAATATTGAAGATATGAAATTTTAAGTTTACAGGAATTTGCAGTTTCTATTCGATACATCATAAAATATACCTTCCAACAATTCAACGACTCATGCTCATTAGGCAAACTGAATGTCAGCGCAATTGGATGATTTTCCCCCCTAACTTGCATAACTATTCATTTTTCATATGTTTTTATTTTTAAAATATAAATGTCCAAACTAATTTCTTTTTATCATGTGACTCATTGATCACAAACACATCATGTAATTGTTACATGAATTAAGGCTCTAAATATTACCATCATCAAAGAACATTCTCTCCTGCTCCTTTTCCTCTCCAGTTGATAGTAACCTTACTTTTTCCAGAGAAAACTGCTTTCTGAATTTTATCAATTGAAGATTCATTTTGCCAAGTCTCGGATTTCATAAAATATAACCATGTATTGTATGTGCTCTTTCTATGTCTAGATTCTTTTCTTTTAACACAACTTTTGAGATCCCTGTGGTTGCATGTGTCAGAAACTTTTTTATCACTGAATGGCATTACTTTGAGCAACCTGCCGATGCAGTGGTTAAAGTGCTGTGCTGCTGTCTAGAAAAGCGTCATTCATTCATTTACTTAAGAACTCTCTTCTTAAGAAAAGTCTACAGGTACATTTTTAAAAGAACATCAGGAAATGAAACCTAGAGGGATCCAAATGTTCAGATCTCATGCTACATAGGGGTGGAGGAAGGAGATCACCGTGATTTGGAGATCTGACTTGAAAGCAGTAACATTCACTTAGGACCTTTGCTTCTCAAATGAGCATCATGAAATTAACAGTTACATTTTATTTAACTAAAATATGGCAAAGGGAATGGCTAGCTAGGCTGTGATAATTGGGGTTTCTATTAATTTATGGCTCTAGATAATATATTAAAGAGCTTGGTGGCATATTTCACTCTGTGTTGTAATAGTATCAGTTTAAATCTACCAAAGGCTCTGTAGGAGAAACACTGGCAGTCTCCAACGGTTAGTATTTATAAACTTGAAAATCTAATGGCGGTGTCGCTTTGAGTTGGAATTGACTCAAAAACAGTGAGTTTGAGTTTTAAGGGTGTTTTTTAAAAGAGTGTATATCATTTAAATATGCTTATAATTTCAAATATCAATATTTCTTTTATTATTTATATATACCACTACCCTGTTGCCAAAACAAACTTCTACAACTGCACTCTGTACATTAGAGTGTTTGTCAAATATTACGCTAACCTAGTCTTTACCAGCACCTCAGCTGAGAGCTTTGTTTTGGCGAGTTTTTTGTGGTTTTGTGTTCTTCGGGGTGTTTTACCTTCCTTAAAATATAGTTGCTCCTTAAAAGAAAATTAATTCATAAATATTAAAGATAATCTTTCCTCCCTATTAAAGTTCATATATACCTTGAAACGAACACCTTCTTCTAGAACAACATATCCTTTGGAAGGGGTCAGATCTTTAGATTCAGTGGAAGAGTTCACTTCTGTCACAATGAACTGCACTGTCACAGTTCCAAAGAGACCCTGTGCAGGTTCCCGAACAATGTACAACACTGCAACACTCTCCTGTACATAGACAGCGGTTGGTTCTCTGAGGTAAAAGTGCTCACTGTTGTTAAATGACAGAACGCCAGGGCCGTCATCATTAGCAAGGATAGTAATTAAAGCTGTCAAAACAAAAAAATATTAAAGCAGTCAATCAAAATAGTATGAGTAACAAGTACTGGTATAGCATGATTGCTGAACTGGAAACTAGGTCAACCCTTCCCTAGACAACCTTAGAAAAAGGAATTTTGTAAAAGCATTCCATAAATTTATAAAAAATATTCAATATTCTTGAATAAAAATAAGCTTTATCTGATGAAATGAATCCTTCAGCAAATATAAAATTTCATTTAGACACATTTGAAGCATTCCTATTAAAAACAGAAACAAGAAACAATGTCTGTCACAAATTTACCACTCAACATTGTCCTGGAGATATCAGCCAGATACAAAAATAATAGGAAGGAAGGCTCAGAACTAGAACTGTCACTATTTTCTAGATGACGGGATTTTCTTCTTACAAAATGCCAAGACCAAAAAAAAAATTATTGGAATTATGTAAGTAAAAAATGTAGGCAGAGCGACATTAAAAGACCAAGAGCTTTATCTTTACAACGACTTTGAATAAAAACACCAACTGTGCAACAACAACAAATACTGTTCAACTTGCTTGACCTATGATAACTCATTTAGTTTTTACTGCAACTCCATGTGATCTATTATTCTGTTTTACCTCTGTAAAGCACAGATTAACAATATGCTGAAGTTCATGAGTTAGGAAGTGGCAGAATTGGTGCACAAATCCAGGAAGTAAGCTCCATCACATGTATTCTTTCATTTTCTTTCCTTAACTTTTTTTTTTAGTTGAGTGAAAGTTTACAGAGTAAAATATTAATTCTTAAAAATGGACATTATCACAAACGTGAAAGTTAAAAGGTATCTTGGTCACAAGAGAAGTAATGCCCAAGAATTAATCAATATAAGATTGACAGGAAGAAAACAAAACATTTTAATGTACAACCATGGCAGATACTGTCAGTGGTTCACACACATTCTTTCTGCCAACTTTTCCATCATCTACAGCAGCTCCTATATCCCAATGGTCTGTCAAGTTATGTCTTAGCACAACCTCAGAAGAGAGAGCTGTCCAGACAGAAGTACTGCAACACTCAGACAATAACGTATGAAATTCAGGACACCAGCAAGATGGAGCCTCAGTGGACCACAGCAGTGCCTGTTCATTCAACACATCTTCTATCAGCTTTACTCTCTCCCCTGTCTCAAGTGCTAATTTTCTTCTAAATAGCTCAGGAAATCTACTTCCCAGTAAACTTCTAATATTAAAATCCTTATAAAGAGTTTTTGAGGAAATTCAAACTAAGGCAGTGAAATAGATGATGATTTAAGTAAAAGGAGAAGCATATTATACTTCTAAATTAAAGTGTGTGTGTCGTAATGTAAAGTCTCTCCAAATTAGTCTCAAATTTAAATTCAGTGTTGTGAGAAACTGAACTGTATCCCCTACAAAGATAGATTGAAGTCTTAATCCTTGTACCTGTGACCATGATCCTGTATGAAAATAATGTGTTTTTTTTAAGATTAACATGTGGTCACAACTGAAATCATGAATGTCCTAGTTCTCTCTGATTCTTACATTTATAAGAGAGAGAAAGTGATATGACAATAAAAGTAAAAAACGTTCCTTGATTTACTAAAAACAAAAAAATTCCCTAAGCCTGAGACTTTAGGGTTTTTTTCTCAAATCCAAAGAGTCTGTGTTTGAGATGGAATAATTTTCTTCTAAAGCAAAAGTGAAGGCTGCTAATATGGACACCATGAATCTTCTGTCACAACATACCCCATAACATTGAAGTATTATATTTTAGTGCTAGCATCTAAGGCTATAAAATTCTCATGATGGGAAAGGTCAGCAAAAAAGAGGATATATCTCAATGAGATGGACCCATACTTTGATTTTAACAATGGATTACAATATAGCAGAGATTGTGAGGATGGCACAAGACAGGGTAAGATCTTCAGTGTTGTACATAGAGTGGTTATAAGTCATACCTGACTCGATGGTACCTAACAATAAGAAAGTCTTAAAAGTTTGTGAGTAGGATTTATGACACAGCTATAGGTCTTTATACATTTTGAGTAAAAGAGAAAGAAGGGAAACAAACCCCAAAAGAAGTAAATCATCTATGAGACTAATTATTTACATGAACTATGAGCTCATCTCTCCAGAAATTAGAACAAGATGGTACCTGGCTACCACTACTGATCACAAAGGGACACAGTAGATGGTCTTGGATGGAAAGGCAAAAAATTACAGAACAAAATTCAAATTATTCATGAACTATTGTGTTGTTTGTTGTTGTTGTTGTTGTTGCTGCTGTTAGGTGCCTTTGAGTCGCCTGTTACTCATAGCGACCCTATGTACAACAGCCCTAAATCCTGTTCTATCCTGTACCAATCTTATTGTCTCTGACACACCTACCCCTATTACCCCAGTCACTGAATCAATCCATCTCACCAAGGGTCTTCCTCTCTGGCACTGTCCCTCCACCCTCCCAAGAAGGACATTCCTTTCCAAGGACTGGTCCTGCCTTGCAACATGTCTGACGTATGTGAGATGAAGCTTCAGAATCCTTGCCTCCAAAGAGCAGTCTGGTCTAACCCTCTATAGGGTGAAGCTGTTTGTTCTCCTGGCAGTCCATGATATATTCAATACTCTTTTGGGCACCACAGCCCAAAGGCATCAATTCTCCTTCTATCATCCTTAGGCATTATTCATATTTCTGATGCATCTCAAGTAATTATCAGGTGCACTTTAGTCTCCAGACTCACATCGTTTCTCTTCAGTACTTTGGTGAAGTCTCTGACAGAAGACTTCCTCAAATGCAATTCATCTTTTAGTTTCTTGCCTGCTGGTACCAAGAGTGTTGACTGTGAAGCCAAGAAAACTAAAGCTGTTAATAATCTCAATCTCTTGACTGTCTATCATGATGCTGCCAATCAGCCCAGTGGTGAGAGTCTTTGTGTTCTTGGTGTTGAGCTTCAATCATATTGAAGGCTGCAGTCCTTGGCCTTCTGCAACCAGCACTTCAGGTCCTCCTCAGTTTCAGCAAGCAGGTTGTGCCATCTGTGTAACGAAGATTGTCAATGAGTCTACCTCCAATTCTGATGCCACATTTATCATCATTATAGAGCCCAGCCTCTCATATAATCTGTTCAGCCCATAGATTGAAAAGATATGGAGATAGGACATGTCCCTACATACACTCTGGCATACACGCTATCCATTGCCTTAGGTGGGAATGTTAAATAAAATGAACCTTTGAGACTCCACCTGCCACCCTTAGCTCCTTTGGTGGCACGGTCTCAAGCTGGACCAACTGCAGACAAATGTTCACCACTGAGAAGTAAATTCTCATTATCAGTAGCTGTAAGGTTAACATACAAGAGAGTGAGAACCAGTATGTAAATAGGTTGTGGCAAGTCATATCCTGGCAGAGCCCTGGAGAGAGAGCCAGAGTTAAAAGGCTTTGCTGAAGGAAGAGTTGACTAGTGACTGCTCAGACAAAGCTTGCTGGAGGACTGAGGAAACCAGAAGCTTCTTGCATTTGTGCTACTGGACTGAACCTGCACGTGAACTTGATGACTGAGAAGTTATCTGAACGAACTGTGGATCTTTGTCTTGTTGTTAATCTTCTTTGAGACTGCTGTTCACTAAACCTGGATGTTCACAGTGTGATATCCTTTGCCTCCCCAACCCCTCAACCTATTTCACTAATAAATCCACAATAGTAAGGAGAAAAATAGAAAAGTCAAGTCAGCGAGTCATTGGCAATGAATTTCAAAACGAGTGATTATTAGAAATAAGTGCAGTAGAGTTAGGCGTTATGTCTGACGTTGCAGCTATAGTTTGTTACGGTGGATATGATCATGGGGAAAGTTCACCTTTGTGGCGATAGAAGAGGTTGAACTCAGTCACTGTCTTGTTGCAACTGCTCCTTTTACAACCAGTGAGGCAGCAGAAATGAGAAGAAACACCAATATTACCACCCTGAGACACCTAAAAATTTGGAAATTGTTCCCTGTAGTTATTTCACAGTAGGCTCATAGAATAAACAAAATGTCCTTGAACAACGTGTTCCCTAAAAAAAATAATCTATAAGACCAAAGAGACAACATTTATCCTAGAGCAAACATGAGAAAGTTGCTGTGGGGTTGGTAGGGATGGAAGGGAGCAAGGAATCCAGATCAATGGGAATGAAAGAACCAGAATGGAGATAATGAAAATGTTGACATAATGTGGAAAATGTAACCAGAATCACTGAATAATGTAGTAGTAGTTGTTGTTGTTATAATTGGAACCAACGCATAGCTGGTCCTCCAGCAAGTTTTCAGATGCAGTAAAGCCCACAGGAGTTGACCATTTTTCTCTGGCACAGCAGCTGGTGGATTCAAACTGTGTCCCCTCAGATGGGCAACACAACTCCTTACCACTAGAGCTATGAAATATATATATTGTTAAATGAGAACCTAATTTGCAGTGTTAACTTTCACTAAAGCACAATAAAATGTTTAAAGAAAAGCTGTGCCATGGGAGCAAGATGGACAATCTCCTACCAGTGGGTCTACTGCCTCTGAGAACCTGCTAGAGGGTGAGCTGTGAGTCAGTGCTGAGTCAATGATACACAATAAAAACAACAATATACAAATTACAGGAAAGCTAATTTAAACTAATGGAAACAATGATAATTTATTGACTCAATGAATGAAATGAAAAGAATGCCAAAGAACATTCCACCACTATAAAAACATGAAGCTGAGGAGACAGACAACACTAACGGCTCTATGTTCTCTTAGCCGATTTATCATTAGAGAGGACTGAACGGCATTTTAGAGCAATTTCTAAACTTAAAGTTCAGTATGTCCATGAAGTGTCTATCTTTGTCTCTTTTCTCACCTCCTCTCTAAGCTGTTAGCAGGATCTTGACAAACCGTAACAAGAATGACTTTTAGGAACAAGGTCAAATTGTTCTAATGAAAGGATTAATAGCTGCCATAGTTTGTCTAAACTAGCAGTGCAACTCATCCCTGTGTGGAAATACTACAGTAGTTACATGACACTAAAATAGTTATACAATATTGCTTCTGTTATAGAAAATCAGAGAGTTAAAATTCCAAAAGAATGACATCTACAGAGTAATTATAATCTACCCTCACTGGGAAAATTATTTCATATGCTGTTTGACACTACCCTACATTTTTGTTTCTCATATACACATGTATGTATGCACACAGGCTTACAGATACTATTAAAGTGAAAAAGGCGTTTAAAAATGCTTGTTTCTTATTCAAAGCATTGGAAGTAATTCAACCTTTATCATCCCTTTACATCTGCCGATGTGTTAAGACAAAAGCTTCAAGGAGAGGTAGCCATGTAAAAAAGATTATCTATTACCTATTGTATTTTCTCCCAGTTCTAGTCCAGGAGAAGGATTTGTTAAAATCAGCTGGAAATTTTCATCTCCTTCTGGAATGTCATCATCCATAATCATAATGTCAACTTTCTTATACCTTTCTCCATCAGCAAAGTGAAGAATCTGGACAAAATGATAAAGATAGTACTATTCACATATTACATAATCATATTTCTATTGAATATTTAGAAAGAACACATAATTATTAGTGTAAAGAGCAGACTTTCTTACAGGATATTTTTCTTTTCCTATTTTTAGATTTTATTTAAATTTATAATATTTATTGGGATATATAAATAAAAGTATAGCAGAGAAAGAGAAGAAAGTACACATTTACTAAAGCATTAAAAGGAATAAAGAAACAAGGTACAATTATTTAGAAACATCAAAATGCTTTAGTAAATTAAGAAAAAAACAGGAGCTCACATTTTTAAGTAAATATATACTTTGACAAAATTGGTAATTATAACTAAATTCTTGCACACAATAAAAAATCTCTTCTGGCAACAAAAATTAAGATAGAATTCAGAATTAATAATTCAGAGGGTGAAAAGCAGTCTCCTCCTGCTTCTGAAAACCTGTCACAGGGTCAGCTATGGGTCGGTGCCAAGTCAATGGTACACAACAACAGCAACCTTTAGAATAAATAACTCATTGCTGTATGGCCAGAACTAATGAATAGCTGACCTTCTAGAAAGCTTCCAAAGCTGTAAATGACAAGAGAAGAGATTGTCTTTCTCCCAATGAGAAAATGGTGTATTAAACTGCCAGAGTTGCCACCTTTGTGTTATCACTGCAACTTCCTACATGCTACAATTCCGATCCCTATATTTAGAAAGTGTTCTGGTGGTCATGCTGGTAGATGTGAACAGCTGAACTGTCATTAGCAGTCCAACATGTACATTACTGCTGTGGTAGTTGTTATGTACTACCCAGTCGGAATAGATTCACAGTGACAGAGGCAGTAAACTGTACAGGAGGAGACTATCCTTTCCCATGAAACAGCTGGTAAATTTGAATTACGTTCCTCAGAGCTCCCTATCTTTTTTGTTACTGTGTGTCTTCAAGTCGCTTGCAACTCTTAGTGACCCTATGTTCAAAAGTTCTGAATCCTGCTCTGTCTTGAGTCAATTTTATTGTCTCTGACACACCTACCCCCATTTTGCCAGTCACTGAGTCAATCCATCTCAATCAGTGTCTTCCCTTCTTGCGCTGTCCCTCCACACTTCCCTTCTTACGATGTCCCTCTCCAAGGACTGGTCCCTCCTTGAAACTTGCCCAAAGTATGTCAGACAGAGCTTCAGAATCATTGCCTCCAAATCGTAGCCAGGTTTCACTTTCTCCAAGGTGAAACATGTTTGTTCTCCTAGCAGTCTATGGTATATTCAATACTCTTGTCCAGCACCACAACTCAAAGAGATCAAGTCTTCTATCATCCTTAGTCATTGCCCAGCTTTCGGATGCACAGTAACTGCAAAAACCAGATACACTTTAGTCTCCAGACTGACATTGCTGTTCTTCAGTACTCTGGAGAGGTCCCCAACAGTAGATTTTTCCAATGCAATTACTCTTTTGATTTCCTGACTTCTGGTACCAAGAGTATTAATTGTGGAGCTAAGCAAACTGAAGCTGTTAACAATCTCAATCTCTTCATCGTCTATCGTGATACTATCAATCAGCTGAGTGGTACACTCCAGTCCCTTGACCATCTGCAGCAAATGCCTCAGGTCCTCCTCAGTTTCGGCAAGCAAGATTGTGTCTGTTGCATATTGCAGATTGTTGATTAATGTTTCTCCGGTTCTGATGCCACATTTCTCCTCATAGAGCCCAGCCTCCCAGATGATCTGTTCATTTATAGTGAAAAGGTTTGGAGATAGAATGCATCCCTAGCATATGCCTTTCCTGATTTTGAACCATGCAGTGTTTCCTTGCTCTGTTCTGACAACTGCCTCCTGGTTCAAGTATAGGTTTCACATTAGCATAATCAAATGTTCTGGGATTCCCATTCTTCACAGAGTTAGCCACAGATTCTTGTGATCCACACAATCAAATGCCCTTGCATAGTCAATGAAACAGAAAAACATTCCTCTGGTACTCAAGATCCATCTAACATGAGCTATAATATTCCTAGTGTCATGGCCTCTTCTAAACTCAGCCTGCATGTTTGGCAGTTCTCTGTTGGTGTACTGCTCCAGTCATATTTGGATAATCTCCAGAAGGATCTTGCTTGCATATGATAGTAATGATATTGCTCGATAATTTCCGTACTCTGTTGGTTCATTTTTTTTAAAGAATGAAAACAAATAGGAAACTTTTCCAGTCAGTTGGCCATATGGTTGTCTTCCATATTTCTTGGCAGAACTTAGTGAGCAAGTCCAGGGCAGTGTCTGAAATATGTCAAATGCTGTCAATTCCTTGGGACTTGTTCCTTAAGAATAACTTGAACTTCCTCCTTCATCATCACAGGTTCTTGACTGTATGTTGTTTCATTAAATTCTTCTGTGTCAGTCAATTTTTTCTGGGATAGTGTCTCTGTATACTCCTATCTTCTTTTAATGATACCTGGATCATTTAATATTGTGCCCAAATCATCCTTAAGTATTGCAACTTGAGGCTTGGATTTGTTCTTCAATTCCTTCAGCTTAAGCAATGCAAGTGAGTTTGTCCTTTTTTTTCTTTTTAGACTCCAGCTATTTGTAGATTTCATTATAATACTTTGCTTTGTCTTCCTGCGCTGCCCTTTGAAATCTTTTGTTCAGCTCCTTAACTTCTTGATTTCTTCCCTCTGCTTTGGCTTCTCGGTGCTCTAGTGCAATGTTCAAAGTCTCTTCTGCCTTCTATCTTGGTCTTTTCTTCCTCCTCTGACTCTAGAATAGTACTTAAAATTCTAAACATATTTATATAAGACAATGGATAAAATCAATCCATCCTGTGGAAGCATCCTATGATAACTTACAGTGTTGGTATTGTTTGTTGTTATGTACCATCAAGTTGAGTACAACCCATAGAGACTTTATGAACTACAGATCTTAACCATATCCTATTCTGTGCCGTCTTTACCCTCTCTGATACACCTGCACTCATTGCTGCAGTCTCTTTGTCATTCCACCTTGTTGAATATCTTCTTCTCTTTTGCGGACCCTCCATCTTTCCAAGAATGACATACCTTTCCAAGGAATAGCCTCTCCTAAAAATATACCCAAAGTATTTAGAAAAAACTTTGCTCTCCTCGCCTCCAACAAGCACGTTGTCTGCACTTTCTCCAAAACATATCTGTCCTTTTTTTTTTTTTTTGGTCGGTCCATGGGACTGTAAGAGGTCCCTCACAGTGAACGGATCCAATTAAATATATCTTCTGATCTCCTGACTGATGGTACCAAGGATGTTAATTGTGCTTCCATGTAAGATGAAACCATTGACAACTTCAATCTTTTATCCATGTATCAGGATGTTGATATCAGTTGAGTGATGGGGAGTTTTCTTGCTGTTGAGATGCAATTTATATTGAAAGCTGTAGTTTTGGATCTTCCACAGCAAGGAAATCAAGTCCTCCTCACTTTGAGCAAATAAGATCTAGGGAGCCTTCCTCCAATTTTGATGGCATATCCTTCTTCACAGAGTCCAGTTTCTCAAATGACTTGTTCAGTATAGAGATGGAATAGGTATGGATAAATCATACAACCCTGATGCACACCTTTCCTGACTTAAAACCATGCAGTATTCCCTTGCTCTGTTCATACAACTTCTTGGTCTGTGTGTAGGTTTTGTATGAACATAATTAATTAAGCATTCAAGGATTACCATTTTTCTCAGTGTTAATCATAGTTTGTTATTATCCACACAAAGTTTTTACAGAGTCATAAAACACAAATAAACATTTTTCTGGTATACTCTGCTTTCAACCAAGTTCCAACTTAGACCAGCAATGACATCCCTGGAGCCTCTTCTAAAGCCATATTGAATTACTGACAGTTCTCTGGCAATGTACTAGTCTAGATGTTTTTCAGATTATCTTGAGTAAGATTTTGCTTACATGAGATATTAGTGATATTGTTGAGTAATTTCTACATTCTGTTGGATCATCTATCTTGGAAATGGGACAGTTATGGATATCTTCCAACCAGTTGGCCAAGCAGCTATCCTCCAGATTTCCTGGCATTAAGTGGTGAGCACATCCAGGGCTGCTTCTGTTAGCTGAAACCTGTCGAAAGGTATTCCATGGATTCCTGGAGAATTAATTTTTGCCAATGCTTTTATTGCAGCTTGAACTTCTTCTTCATTACCACTGACCCTTGTTCATATAGTACTTGATGTTTTTCACTGTCAACCAATTCTTTATGATGCAGTGATTGCATATTCCTTCAAACTTCTTTTGATATTTCCTAGATCATCCAACATCAAGTAAACAAAAATTATTACCACTGGACTGATAAGCAACATCATAGTAGATGGAGAAAAGACTGAAGCTGTACATTATTTCATCCTACTTGGATCCACAGTCAACAACACTGGTATCAGCAGTCAGAAGATCAGGAAACAATTGCACTGGAAAAGTTTACAGACAGAAACCTCTCCAAATTATTGAGAAGTAATGATGTTAGTTTGAGAGCTACAGTGTGACTGATTCAGGCCATGGACTTTCAATCACTTGCTATGCACTTGAGTGCTGGACAATGAATAAAGAAGATTGATGAAAAATTGATGTCTTTGCTAAATATCGTAGGAATGCTGAAAGAACAAACAAACATGTCTTGGAGAAAATGCAGCCAGTGTGATCCTTGGGTATAAGATGTTGAGGCTTTTTCTCACATATTTTGAGCATGTTGTTGTTACGTGTCATCAAGTCTCCTACAACTCATAGTGACCTGTACAACATTCCTGAGCCCTGCTCTATTCTGAGAAAGCCTACTGTCTCAGATACCCCATTACCCCAGTCATTGAGTCAATCCATTCTCATCAAGGGCCTTCATTAGAAGAGGCTATTCCTTGAATGGTGAAAGCTTAGTGAAAGAGAGGAAGACTCTGAACAAGATGGATTGACAGGGACTATAGCAATAGGCTCAAATGTGTCAGAAGTTATGAAGATGGCACAGTATGGGGCAGGGTTCATATCTGTTGTTCCTAGGGTTGTTGTGGGTTGTACTTGACCTAACAGCACCTTAACAATAACAACAACAACAAATCATTCAAGATTTTGTCCATACAACCTCCCAGTATTTAAACTCAAGGCTTGAATTTGTTTTTCTGTTCTTTCAACTTGAGAAATTCTGAAAGAGTTCTTCCCTTTCTGAACTCCAACTACAGATTTTTGCGCATTCCATTATACTACTAACTTTGTCTTATTGAGGAGCCCCTAGAAATCTTCTGTTTATTCCTTTTACTTTGGCGTTCTCCCCATTGTTTCAGCTTCTTGATGCTGTAGAACAATTTTCATAGCCTCTTCTGACATCTGTTTCGGTCTTTACTTTCTCTTCTGTCTTTATAATGACCTTTTTCTCTCTTTACCAGTAATGTTTTCCATGTCATCGCCTAACACATCTGGTCTTCTATCACTGGTGTTCAAGGCCTCAAAACTATTCTGGAGATGATTATTCAATTCAGGTGGAATCGACTCAATGCTATATTTTTATTCTTGTCAACTTGTTTTAATTTTCTTCAGCTACAATTTGAACTTGTACATGAGTGATTGATAGTCCATTTCATAGTCAGCAGCTGGTCTGGTTTTGAGTGCTGATACTGAGCTTTGTCTAATGATTCTTTCCACAGATGTACTCAATCTGAACCCTGTGCAATCCATTAGGTGAGGTCCATGGGGAAAAGAGGTTTATTTTTTTAAAAGGTTTTTCCAATGAATAAATCTTTGAATGTACATAATTCAATCATTAGGTACGCAGTCTCATGTCTGTCACCAAGACTACAATTTCTGATTACCATTTCTCAGTTATTATTTCCCAGTTAGGTATTCTGTTGTTAGGTGCCGTTGGGATGACTAGGACTCATAGTGACCCTATGAACAATAGCTCTGAACTCTGCCCTACCCTGAGCCAAACAAACTGTCTCTGACACATCTGCCCCCATGGCCACGGTCACTGTGTTAATCCATTTACTTGCAAGTCATCCTCTATTGCATGGTCCCTCCATTCTTCCAAGCATGAAGTCCTTCTCTAAGGACTGGTCTCTCATGCCCAAAGTACTTTAAGGAGGAACTTGGTTTCACCCTTTCCAAGACAGACTTGTCCTTTTGGCAGTCCTAGTAATCAATACTAATGCATCTTGATTGCATGTTTGGTCAATTTCAGATTTCAAAATTTGGATTTTGCTGTTGTTCAGTACCATGAAGTTAGCAGTGACTCATTGCTGATGCTTTAGCAGGTTTTCAGAGCAATATATTGCACAGGAGGATATTTATCATTCTCCCACACAGCCACTGGTGGATTCAAACCGCACATCTTTGGGTTGGCAGTACAATTCTTTACCACTAAGCCATCAGAGTTCCCTAAAAAGTGGATTGTTGTTGTTGGTACTGTCTGGTCGAGTACAACCTCTAGTGACTCCAAGGACAATATATATGAACTCTGTCCTATTCTGTGCCATCTTTTATTGACACATCAGAGCCTACTGCAGCAGTCAATGTGTCAATCCACCTGGCTGAAGATCTTTTGCTGACCCTCTACCTTTCCTTCCCTCTCCAAAGAATAGCCTTCACAAGAAAAATGTCTGAAGTATGTGACATGAAGCTTTATCATCTTTGTCGCCAAGAAGCACTCTTGCTGCACTTTCTCTAAGACATATTTGTGGTTCTTTTGGCAGTCCCTGGGATATTGAGTACTCTCCTCTAACACCACAGTACAACAGCATCAATTCTTCTTTATTCATTGTCCAGTTCTCAGATGCATAGCAAGTGATCACAAAGACCACAGCTTGAATCAGACACATCTTAGTCCTCAAACTGACATCACTGCTTCTCAATAATTTGGAGGTCCCGTTATGGAGATCCCCCCCCCCCAGTGCAATATATCTCTTTATTTCTTGACTGCTGGTGCCAAGAGTGTTAACTGTGGATCCAAATAAGTTGAAATAATTGACAACTTCAACATTTTCTCCAGCTATCATTTCGTTGTCAACCAGTCCAGTGGTATTTTTTTTCTTGACATTGACATGTAATCAATATTGAAGGCTGCATTCTTTGATCTTCTACAACACGTGCTTCAAGTCCTCCTCACTTTCAGCAAAGAAAATTGTGTCATCTGCATAATGTAAATAATTGTTGAGTCTTCTGATCTTGATGCCACACTCTTCTTCATAAAGTCCAGCTTCTCAAATAATTTACTCAAAATACAGATTGAGTAGGTACAGAAAGAGGGTACAACTCTGACACACTCCTTTCTTAATCTTAAACCATGTAAGATAAACTTTCTTAATTTTAAACCATTTTAAAGCTTTCCTCTATTCGCACATCAGCTTCTTGGTCAAGGTATAGGTTTGGCATGAATGCAATTAAGTATTCCGGGATTCCCATTTGTCTCAATATTAGTCATAATTTGCTAACACACAATCAAATGCCTTTGAATAGCAATAAAGTATAAATAGACATTCTTCTGGTACCACTCACTTTCAGCCAGGATCCATCTAACACAATATCTGTGGTGTCATGGCCTCTTCTAAATCCTTCTTGAACTTCTGTCAGTTACCTATGTACTGTTGTTTCTGAGTGATCTTCAGCAGTATTTTGCTTGTATGTGCTATTATTAATATTGTTTGATATCGTACACATTCTGTTAGATTACCTTTCTTGGGAATGGGCACAAACACGAATCTCTTTCAGTCAGTTGGTCACTTCAACACCATCCCAGAAACACATTCTGCCACATATACGCAGGCTTAAACTGGATTTGATAACAAGGTATTCACATGCTAGATTCATTATCAGAGGTACTATATTAATTTATCACTTTATAGTGTTTAGGCATCCATTGTTCTAATTAGTATAGAATTTGTCTGTCAGTTTGCAGTACTGAGATGACTTGGAGGATCCTGTGATACTGAAAGCTATGCCACTAGTTTGTCAAAAAGTGAGTAAATATCCTCAATTTCCTCCTGCTTGGCTTCTGTTGTTGAAGCATATATTTGAATAACAGTCATAGTAACAGGTCTTCCTTGTATGTTTATGGTTAATATCCTATCACTAACAACATTGTGTTTTAAGACAGACCTTGAAATTGTCTTTTTCACCATGAATACATTATTCTTCCTCAGTTTTTCATTGCTGGCATAACAGACCATAGGGGTTCAAAGTGGTCCTTTCCAGCCCATTTCAGTTGACTAATGTTTAGAATGTCACTCTTCATGTATATAATTTCATTGTTTACAGATTACAGTTTTTCTACATTCATATTTAGTTCTTTCCACATTTTAATTACTAAAGGACATATGCAGCTAATTCTCTTCATTTTGAAAACTGCCAATTTGTATTTGAATACTATATTCCCTTTTTTTTTTGTTCATTAGGTTTTCAGGAACCTAAAAATACTAAAACTTAACAGTGTATATAATGTTATAGTAGAATTAATTCACTTATCAGAATATGAACTGCAGTAATTTTGAAGGAATAATGAGCTTACAAAAGTGATTCATGATAAATCTTGAGTCCTACCATTGGGGTGAAGATATAATCCAGCCCTAGTTGTGCTTCCAAATTCTGTGCATACACAAACAAGGAGACATAGCCAAGAGCCCCTCTGCTCCTCTGGGCTACCAATGTTAAACTTCCCTGGGTTTCATTTATTTCAAACCTATAATAAATAGAACACATTTATTTACTCTCCATGTAAGGTTATTTCATAGATAGTAAAGAATCTAAAATCTAGAAAAGACTATGAAGTCTTAGGTTTACCTGTTCTGTTGCCATTCAATTACACCAAGGGCACCATCATTGGCATCAATAATAATCTGCGCAGTTAAGCCTTCTGAATCTGAAAAGAGACATGGGAAAGTCATGTAAAAATAAATGAGTAATTAAACCATTATGACTTGGAACATAATATACTCAGGATTACGTATATCCTATCATATAAAGGAGCTCTGGTGGCCTAGTGATAAGAATCTGTGCTGCCATCTTGAAGACAAACAGATCATATCCACCAGCTGCTCCATGGAAGAAACGGAGGCAATCCCCTCTCAAGAGATTGACTGTCTCTTAAAGCTGGCTGAAGGGTCAGATATGGGTTGGTTCAACTTGATGGTATGCAGTAACAACAAAAACTTTGTATAATACAACAGTTTGGAGCAGTTGGAATTCGTTAAGTAGATCATTTTTATTTGATTAACAGTCAGTTGTGAGCTAGTGCATCTTTTTATATTTAATTGTCAGTTATGGGCTGGGGATCTCTTGTTTAAACCATTTAGAACCCTATGGGTGGACCTCTGTGATTAAAGATTGATTGACTGGTGTGAAGACTAATATGCTATTGTTGTTGTTGATTGCCTTTGAGTCCAGCATGACTCATAGTAACCCAGTGAACAAAAGACCTGAAGCCTCTCTAAAACTATCGACATTTATCAAAGTTCATAGAGTTTCCAGAGGAAAGTTGTTTCAGAAGTGGAAAGTACAAAGTAATTGTCAGTTTGTTCTATTTGAGGAGAACACTGTTCTGACTGTACAGCACTTATCTGTCAGTTTGCTGAACTGACAAACTTGTGGGTTGCTGTTATACTGAAAACTATGCCACTGGGATGCCAAATGCGACAAGCGTTACCCCTGGTAGGCAGGTTTTACCAGAACTCCCAGACTAAGACAGACTAGGAAGCAGGATTGGCCATCCACTTCTTAAGTAATGGGGCTCTGCAAACCCTATGAATAGTAGAGGAACGTGGATTGTTATACTAATAGTGGCAGAACTCAAACTAGAAGTCAGTCAAAATGGGAGAAAGAAAAAGATATGATCTTCAGAAAGGCAGCGAAGGAGAGGAAGACCTCGAGTAGGTGGATTGACACAATGACTGCCACAATGGGCTCTAGTGTGTTGGTTAAGTATGAGGAAGACACAGGATAGCACAGGGTTCAGATCTGTTTTTCACTGGGTCATTATGGTTGATACTCAACTCGGCAGGACATAACAACAACAACAACATGATGTAAGTACTGTCAATGACAACAGCATGATGTAAGTACTGTCAATGTTTCTCAAAGCTATTTTAAAATATAAAAATGAATATTTATTACTTCAGATTCAGGGAGCTTTTTATTGACAAGAGTCACTGACTTATAAAGGATTAATCAACTGATAACAATAGTAATTATTGACTGGGGTTATAGGCTGATTTCCCCCTTCATTTAAAAGAAATTGTCATCACTAATCTATATCAACCTTTTAGAAAACAATTAACAAAGAGCACTTGAAATACACATAAAGACAAAAAAGGGAGAAAAGATAATGCTCTAGAGAAAAATATAAGTGATGGAAATACGGAGACAACAATACAGAGACAGAGGTTGAAGCAGGTAAGACTGATAAGAAAAAGTTTTGGTGGAATAAAAAGACTCCGGAAGTTATAAACTTATTTAATATAACTTAAGTGGACAAAATATGATTATTTAATGTTCTGTCCAACAACTTCAGTGCTACCAACACTCTGTCTTGAAATACAAACTAAACCTACAACTGTGGTTTTTAAAATATTGTAAATGTCCTTTGCCTTTTATAGGTCAGAGGCATTACCTTAGTCTAAGATAATTATGGAAGCTATCTGAGTGGGACAGTGGAAGGCAAGTCTAAGTCTCTCTAGAAAGACGAGAACAACATTGTGGAGAAAAGATAAAATCAGGATTCATGCCTACTCTGTAGTTTCTCAAACTAGAGGCTACAAAGCAGAGACTGTAAAGAATTCAGGTCACCATGCCAATTACATCAACTCTACCAAGTACCAGCTACGTGGTTTTAAGCACGTTACTTAGTTTCTGTGGAACTATATGAGTATTGATGATACAAAGCGAGGAAGAAATATTCAACAAATAGAAACTCAGCTAAATACTTTTAACATGGGTACAAAAAAAGATGATGGATATTATTAATTTTCCTACTAGAAACAATATTGAGGTAGTGCTGGTGGTAAAGCCCAGAGGGAATCGTGCTGTTAACCAAAAGGCAAGGTGTCTCTACTGGTTTGAATCCACCAGCAGCTCCATGGGAGAAGGATAAGACCATCTCCTTCCATGTGATTTACAGACCTGGAAACCAATTGGAGGGCCAGTTATGAGTTAGTTCTGATGTAATGGCAATGAACTGAGTTGGATTAAACAAATATTTCTTTCTTATAATTATTTTTATATAAACAGTCTGGATTTTAGATTCATGTGTTTCTTTTACAAAAGAACATATGAATAACTGATTGCTGCCTTTTCAATATTTTAAAAGTTGCCCTTGAGCCTCAGTGGTAGAACAAGAAGGGTCTGTTTCTGAAGGAATTCACCTAGCTATTCTCCTTTAATCAACGTCATTTCTTCTCTGTCCACCACTTGGAACTAATGAATAAGAAACAGCCACCCTCATTGCTACCCACCGCCACCCTCTACTGTGCTACCACAACTAAGAGTTACAGACAAAATTTTCCCAGAATAAGACTCCAAAATGCAAGTAGGAGTCTGTGTTTGAAAAATAAGAATACATGTTTTTAAATACATCTACAATAATTTGTACTAACATCCAAGTTTTACCTTTAAGTCTGTAATGAATTAACTGAGTCTTTTCTAAAAGCATGAAAAGAAAAAGATAAAAGGTCAAATAGCAGCAGAGAACAGAATACGCAAAATCTTATTAAATAAAACTATCAGAAGAATGTATCTAAGTTTTAAAAGGAAATAAAGAAAATGCCTTTGGTGGACTAACTGACGTAGAACTAATGCTACTTAAGGATCACAAAGTTTGTGACATAAATACTTGTAAACTTTAAAAGATAATATGTAAAATTTCTGGAATGTCTTTATACTGTATAACGAATGAACTTTAAAATGACAGTTTCTAACTCAAATCCAAAAGGTCGCACTATTTTTACACAGAGCTAAAATTAACTAACATCATGATTATTCCTGACTTGGAAGGGGGAGGAGAAGGAGGAGTGATTTTACTTCATTTGAAGTTAATGAAATGGAAAAATAAAGTACAACAAAAATCATACCCAGCCTGGGAGGAAATGATGTTAAAGGAGCCATGATAAGTTCAACATAAGTTAAATTCACGAGGAAATATTCTTCTAGCTCCGGTGTATCATCCTGCAAAACACACATTCATTAAAATATATCTCATTATGCTTTCAAAGTAACTACTTCCTCCATAAGTGGCTTTTAAAGTCTCTTCTATGACATATAAAAAGCAGAAAATTGCAAGCCTGCAAGAGGAAATATTTAAAATTCACCTTAAAAATAAGTGTTAAAGTCCTGAACTAACGCCTATCTATGTGATAAGTTATCAAGCTGAACTATATGAAATTACTAATATTATGTCATTCTTTACCTAACTCACTGCTATGCAGTCAATTCAAACCCATAGTGACTCTGTGGAACAGAGAAGAACTGTCCCATAGAGTTTCCAAAACTATAAATCTTTTTGAAAGCAAATGTCCACCTTTTTTTTTTTCTTGAGGTGGTGCAGATGGGTTCAAACAACTGCCCATTTGTTTAGCGGCCTGGTGCTTAAACCGCTGTACCATCAACACTCTTCATATTTTCTAGGTTAATATAACATTATGGAGCTCTTGTGGCCTAATAGCAAGAAGCTGAACTGCAATTCTGAAGGCACATAGTTCGAGGCCACCAGCTGCTCTGTGGGAGAAGGATGGGCAATCTCCTCCTGTGTGATTAACTGCCTGTGAAAACCCGCTGGAGGGTCAACTATGGTTCGGTTCCAACTCTCCAGTATTCAACAAACACAATATAATATTAAATAATAAAATAATTATATAAGTACATCATCACAGAGTGGAAGCTCCAAGCTCTAGGAGTTGGCTGCTATCTAGCATCTTGATGGTGGTCGTGTCTTGATGGTGGTCACATAGGGAAGTTTTTTTGGGTCGTGTTTGATGTGTGTTACTGTTCTTTCCCCCCAAAAGTGGGTGCCCCTTAAGCCTTTGACCAAGAGTGGAGGCCTGTTAGAGGGTTTGTCTATTTGTTGTACTGAACAACTTGGTCTTGCTGCGATGCTGAACATTGTTCCATAGTCTTGTCAAATACTATAATGGTTACCCATTATGTACAATGTTTGGATGGGCTTCCAGATTGATTCATGTTGGGAAGCAGGAGTTGCATCCACTTCCTAAACTAGATGCTTCTGGAAACTCTATGAACTTGGAGAAAAATGATGATAGTTATGGAAAGGCATTAGGTCTTTTGTTCACCTAAGTCATCCTCAACTCAATGGCAATCAACAACAACAACATCACCATCAAAATATATTCGAAGTGTAGCAAGAGTAAGTTTTTCAATTGCCTTATCTTAAATATCCAATATTTAGAAGGAAGAATAGAATAATAAAAATATGATGAAAAGTATGTTTGAAATGTTTCCCTCAAAATTGAGGTGCAAACAACCACTGCTGCTATGAAAGAATCCAGTAGATAAATGGGGGATTTACTTTTGCTGTGTTAAAAAGGAAAACTGGTAGTACAATAATGAAAAAATTTGGCAGCTAACTAAAAGTTTGGGACTTTGAGTCCAACAGCTCCTCCACAGGTATAAGATGAGGCAGGCTGTTTCCAGAAACCCCTACACAGGGGTGCTGAGACAGAATGACTCTAGGCAGTAGGCTTCATTTAGTTATTACATTAATGACAACATTACAGAGTAGGTTCATATGATGTCAAGAGCTTATTGTTCCAAATGGCTTCCCTACAGAGAGAGCTACACTGGCCTAGTGGACAGAAAGTTATGCTACCAAGCCCAAGGCAAGTAAATTTAATCTGCAGCCCTCGGGCCTGGTCTGAACTGTTTTTTGTCAAACATTCTTCTAAGTGGTATAGCACTGGTCTGTGCATTGCTGTACAGAGGTAACTCATGGTTGCTGTGATGCTAAACACTGTGACATTGTTGTGTCAAATGTGATAACTGTTACCCATGGTGGACAGTGCTTGGTGGAGCTCCCCGATTAAAACAAACTTGGAAGCAGGAGTGGTATCCATTTCCGAAATGGCTTGCCTCTGGAAACTCTGTGAACAGTGCTCAGGTCTTTCATTCATAGGGTCGTTATGAGTCGTCTACGACTCAACGGCACCTAACAGCAACAATGACACAGTATGAAAGCCCAGGAAAAATAGTTCACCAATGGTTAAGTTTCAATGTAATCACATTTCTATTTACAGCCTGTAGTGAGCTGCTCTTGTCAGTATAGAGACTAAGGGGCACTTGATCCAGGCCATGGTCTTCTCAATTGCTGGCTGTGCATCTAAGAGCTGGACAAGGAATAAGAATGATAGAAAAAACAGTGATGCCTTTGAATTGTGATGCTAGATAGAGTATTGAACATACCACGGACTGCCAAGAGAATAAACAGGTTCATTCTGCAGAGAGTGAAACCATGTTGCTCCTTGGAGGCAAAGATTGTGAAACGTTGTCTCACAAACCTTAGGTATGTTGTCAGGAGGGGCCAGTCTTTGTAAAAGGACAGTGTGACTGGAAGAATGGAGGGTTAACACAGGAGAGGAAGATCCTGAATGAGATGGACTTACACAGTGACTTTAGCAATGGGGTCAAGTGTGTCAGAGATGGTGAGGCTTGCTTTGGACAGGGCAAGGTTCAGAGCCATTGCCCACGGGGTCACTCTAAGTCGTAGTCAACCATAGACACATAACCATGAGTGAGTTTCCCAAATAAGATTCTGACCTATGTAGGCTTGCTGTTCCAAAGAATCTCTTCGAATATTCAAAATGTTTCTTCAGAATTTCTCAGTCAATCCTATCCAAAGCAGCATTGGCTTAAGGAAATTCTCCTGACTGCAAGATGCCCATACTCTTGACCACATGCCCCAAGTGTGTGAGATAGAGCTTCAAAATCCTTGCTTCCAAGGAGCAGACTGGTTTCACCCTCTCCAGGAAATATCTGTTGATTCTCTTAGCAGTCTGTAAGAATTCAATATTCTTCTTCAGCACAACTCAACTTTTGTCCTTCCTGTTCACTGTCCAGTTCTCTGATGTATAGCAAGTAATTGTGAAAACTATGGCCTGAATCAGGCACATCTTAGTCTCCAGACTGACAGTGTTGCTTTTTAGCATTTTTGAAGAGGTCCCTGATAAAGAACATGTAGATACAACAATATAAAGATTTAGATTCAATTTTAGCATTTTGTCACTTTTATCTAGCACTGCTTAGCAAGTCACATTGATAACTTCAGTATCTTGAAGTATTCCTTGTCGATGGTGGGAGATAGCTGAGGTGATACATCAATTTCTATTTTCTTTGTGTTGCTTTAAAAAGGCTGTGCTTCCCCAGTGGTTCAAATTCATAAGCTACTAAAAGGGAGAAAGTCAAGAACTCTCCTTCTATCAAGATTTACATTCCAGAAACGCAAAGAATGGTCACTATGAGTCAAGTTAGAACCTACTCAACCACAAGAAGTAGGTATTTTAGATGTGGTTACTTCATGTTTAATACAGTAACAACCTAAGTATTTTACCTCAAGAATCGTAATGTTGATGGCTGCTGATGTTTCCCCTTCTTCTAAAATCAGAGAGCCAACGTGTGGCACAAAATCCACTTCTGGCTCTGCTAGATTTCCTTCTGTTTGGTTTTTCAGACCCAGCATTCCAGGAATTGTGGTATACGTGACATTGATAACTCCTAGTTGTGGGGGGGGGAAGATATAACTATTTAACATTTTAAAAATCACACTGTATACTGTGTTTTGCTTTCCTCTTAGTATCTTACTGATCCAATTGCTCACTCCACCCTAACACCATAATTCTTGTCAAGTAACAACAGCCCAGCATTCTCCCACCATCAACAAGGAATACCTCTAGATGCCCTGGTTAGCCACGTGACTTGCTAGCAGAGCAAGGTAAAAGTATAAGATGCTAAAATGAATCAAATCTCAGGAAGCTTTGTAGATTTCTATTTGCTCTCTTGTGCATCTGCTGGTCCCAAAAGAATGAGAGATATACAGAAGACAGGACTCCATAGCCAAGTTCAACCCATAGCAGCATATACACAGACAGCCATAGGTTGCCAAGATTTGATGACTAATACAGTTTTATGTTTTGTGTCAAAGAGAATTTCTTTACTCATATAACAATAAAGTCATCCCCTACCTAATGAATATTCCTTTTTCCCTAGGCCTTATTTACTTCAGCATTGACTTTGATCCACACCCATGAAATGTTACAAAAGCATCCACCTAGAAACCACAATCTTTATAGCACAAACCTAAAGATCCAAATTCTCTGTTGATGAAAAGCTGAATGGTTACATTAGCCTCTTCCACGAAGATGAATCTTGACGAAAGGGCAAAATTTAGAACGCCATGTGGCTCATCACTGGCTTCCACGGTGAGCACAGCTGCGTAACCTTGAGTATCAAGCAAAGCCATTCCTGCCGGCGGAACTCCTGAAAATGGCAGGAAAATAGCATCAGTGTCTAAATACTTAGAATTGCTTTATCTAAAACATAATATTGTCTCAGGAAGTATATTATTTTGTTCATTTCCCTAGTAGAAATCTTCAGGGTGATCACCAGAGTCCAGATTACATTTTTTTTATTAAGGACCAAAATTCATGAATTTTCCCATCTTACTTATCATCGTTATTATTTTCTATACTGATCATATCTGAACTACAAACATTGAGAAGCAGCTAGGGAAAATACAAAGTAATTTTCACAAAACTGTTTACATCTTAATTGCTTAGATCTGCTGCATATATCTACTTCAAGACCCTTGCTGGTGTAATGCATAATGGGTCAAGATGTCAACCAAAACATCAGTGGATCAAACCTCCAGCTTATAGCCATGAAATCCACTGGGAGGCTGCCATAGTCAAAACACACTCAACAGCAGTGGCTCTGGTTCTGGATTTGAGTGGTGAACTATGCAATGCGGAATTTCCTAGCCATAATTTCAACCACATGGCTGAGTAGGACTGTGCGTGCACTGTCAAGTCAGAACCGACTCCATAACTAACCCTTCATCAAGTTTTCAGAGGCAATAGATAACACAGAGACTGACTATCTTTCTTCTGTGAAATAGCTGGTGGACTTGAACTGCTCGCCTTTGTGTTACCAGTGCACCTTCTTATCACCAAGCCACCAGAGTTCCTGAGGAATATGGAAATGAATGTTTAGAAAGCTAATGTGGTGACTGGTCAATCAATTTTGCCATCCTACTGGACATAAACTGACCAGACTTAGAAGCAGAAAAAGGGAATCTCACGATTGTCAAGAAAGAAATAGTGCAGTAAATGGTTTGGACCAGAAAGGTAAGATGGAGCAGGACTGAGACACAGCAGCCTATATGACAGTTCATGTGACAGAGCAGTGACAGCAGCAGAAAATCAAAGACTTAGTGTAAGACAGATATGAGCTAGATATGCCAACCCACAGAGCTAAAGCTGAGGCCCTTGGGTGCATAACTGAAAGAACTTGGGTGCAGAATTGGCAGAACTAAGAGTTCGAGTCGGTGAAATAGAAGAAGACACTCAACCAGGTGAACTGACACAGTGAAGCTGCAATGGGCTCTAGTTTGTCAGAAATTATAAGGATAGCACAGGATAGGATAAGGCTCAAATTTGTTGTTCAGAGTCCCTTGGGGTCATATTCTACTTGATGGTACATAAAAATAACCACAACAACAACAGTTTTATAACACTTGCCTGGCCAGAGTAGAGGCTAATCACCATAAAACAAAGGGTTAGAGAGAGGTCTGCTCGTGAGCATGGCTTAGAAGAGGCTATACTGACTGAGGCCAGGCCAACTGTATCTTCTGGGCTTCCTAAACCAAAATTATAACTTGTTACTCATATAATGAAATTCATAACTGCAAGTATTGCTCTTAAGGTATGTGTGGCCATTGCAACGAATTTGTGCTGCAATCTCAAAAGTGTAAGGTTTCAAGCCACCAACTGCTCCGCGGGATAAGGATGGGCAATCTCGTGCTGTGCGATTAACTGCCTCTGAACACCTGTCAGAGGGTGAGTTATGCGTTAGTTCCAATTCTATGTTATTCAACAACAACAACACAGAAAGTAGTAAGAGCCAGGGGAAGAATGTTTGGTACTGGACTTTGTAGGAGATGTGAAGCATGAAAGCCCATAGCTGACATTATAGGAATTGGCTTTGAGTTGTTTGTGTTGACAGAGATGTTCCCTCTTGTGATGTGAGTAGATGTCAGATTGTTCCTCCCCTGTTTATACAGAATCATATAAATTTTCTGATAGGATAGCATTAACTTTGGGGGAAAAAATACCTTTGGAAGCATATTTTGTTCTACAGTTTATTTTTACAGCATTTTAACAGGCTTAGGGTTTCACTCCCACTTTAGCCCATAAATTAATTTTTAAAATTTTTAATGTAAACATT